AGCTGAGGTACCTTGTGTAAACACTTATGGCACCATCCTCATTTGAATATCAATACTTATAGAAAATAAAAATACGTTTCCGGCAATTTACCTGTTGCGTAGAGCTAAAATGAAAGCATATTTACTTGTTCCCTTCTGATCCTCCATCAAGTCGTAAAAAGGATGAAAAAGGGTCTGTAGATCGACAATGGATTTACAGAGGCGGGGAGCGAGATCCTGAAAGACAGGTTATCCCTGAGAACCGCTTTCAAATGATATCACAGTTACAAAGCGTGAACTGAAAACCGCAAAGCGTGGGTGAATTTCTCGACTATTAGGGAGCGCGCGTTTGCGTTTCGTGGAGGTCTTCGTTGACAATGAGCTAAACCTTTCTGTGTTACTGTAGAAAAATGTTTTTCCTTCAGTTACCTTGAAGCTGACAGCAAAATTTTTTAAGATCTTATTTTATCATAATCTTAGTTTTTAGCAGGGAAAAACTTTTCACCAAATTTCCAACCGCAAATGAGTGGGCCATACAATTTTTTGATCTTTAATAGCCGCTAAACCATTGAATTTGAAAAGCCAACATTTTCCTTACACATTCGTCTTCACGCTCATAGGCGCGCGGGGCTCGTATACTGGAACCATTCCAATAAAGCCTATGTGATGAACACTCTTTTCAGAGGATTTTTTTTTAAAATTCACTTGACCGAGAGTCAAGCCGCGCCGAGCGCGAGCCAGGCTGGATTGAATAGAATTTGAACGACACTTTATAATCGAAAAGCAAATCTTGTTCGACGTGCAAAAGAAGAACACAAGGACTAGAAGTAGTTCATGAAATATTTTCAAACAATTAGTGTGGAATTTGCGGTACTTCAACTTTTTTATACCACCAACTTAGTTATGTTTGTGATCATACACTCAGGACAGTAACGCGTTTATTTAGCTAGATAGAGTGTTCTGTTCTAAACCTATTTAATCGGCTGATATTGATAGTTTCAATTCATTCAAACTGTATCAACAGACAGAGACACAGGACAACACCGGACGGCTAATTACCGTGAACAGATTATCATGCAGGTATTTTGTTCTTAGCTTGGAATTCTCAGGCTCTTGGAGATGTATTTTGATGATAATTTTGGCATTTGTTTTTTTCTCCAGAGCATTGTTTTAATAGTTCATTGCTTTACAAGGGAGAATCTTCAGGAAAATTCTGCTTTGTTGTGTTTTAGCCGCATAGGTCATGTTGGTCAGAAGTCACTGAGAGAAACTTAAAAAAACTTGAGCTTCGTAACAGAAATATTTGCGTATAAGAGATTTAGTGAGTAGTTCTTCTTGTTTAAATGGTTCCTTGGTTCTTTTGAATATTCTCTCAGGCACGGAATTGTCTTATCTAACTTCATGTTTTGAACTTCCTATGCGAGGAAACTTCTGCTGCTGGGATTAATAGCTGTTGGTGAAGCTTATGGTAAACGCTTCCATAAGCCTCCGGGTGCTTATTAAGAATTCAATGACTTCCAGACGGGGAGTTATAGGAGAGGAGGGGCTTGTCAAAGAGGAGATGTTTGTTAAAAAATATTGAGAGCCCTATTGTGAGTTATTTAATTTTTTCCATTGTCTCGTCTAGGTATAACAAATATTCTAAATGTTTAACATAACGGGACATATTGGGAAATTGTGGGTAACCTTGGCCAACTGTATAAAAATACCATTGTCATAGTCGTATTTTTTTGCCTGTGGTTTTATGTATGAGTTTATGCTTAGGAGGACGGATGATAGGGAAGGTTTGATCGGAGAGAACGTTTATTTAAGAGCAGGAGGGGCTAAATAGAGGGTCAGTGCCTTAATGCGGTAATTATTTGTGGTCGTCTTTGGAGCTAATCAAGGAAACTGTAATAAACCACAAAGCATACGTGGATATTGCGACGAATACCACAGGAATCAGATTTAATTTGCGAGAAAGTAAACAGGTGACTCGCGAGCAAAGTGGGAAGATGTCGCTTCCTGTGCATCTTTCGTTCATAATCTTGTGCGGCGACGAATTATTAGCAGCATTAATAATCCTATTTAGCTGATTACTACTGGGATTTGGTGCCTCTGTATAAAGCTAGGAAAGGGCGATTGTTCGCAGTCTAAGATTTCCGGATCACAAAATGCGGGCAGGACGCGCGCGCCACGCTTTGAGAACCGTAACCGTAACCGTATGGCGCGTGGTTTTCATAACCTTAACGTTTTGCGATTGAAAACCTGGGTATGCCGTAATTATCTTCGCGTTTTTGTTGCTTTTCATTCTTCAGTTCAAATCGAATCATTCAGATCCACGTCGTTTGTTTCGATATTCATGTACATTATCCTGAAGAAACGACAACCCAGAGAACTGCATTACAACGAGGGGGGCGGGAATGGGAATCTTGGCAATCAGACCCTGAGAGTATTATGGCTTACCTTGGTTCATGGAATAAACTTCATGCACACTGCTGTTCTGCTCTAACTATGTCAAGTTAGTCTTCTTGTATGGAGCAGAAACCTGGAGGACCACTAAAACAACTGTCAATAAAGTTCAGATATTCATCAACAGCTGCCTAAGGAGGTTTCTACGGATCCGCTGGCCAGACATCCTCAGCAATACAGACCTCTGGAGGGAGACCAACCAAATACCAGTAGAAGACGAAATCAGAAGACGAAGATGGAATGGGATGGAGCACACCCTCAAATCAACATCAAGTGTCACAAAACAGGCCCTCTGCTGGAATCCCCAGGGTAATTTTGGGGGAATTTATGGTTTTCTGTTGGAACGGAGAGGGAATCAGCCATTGCCAATAGAGTATGAAAGAGGACTATAATCCCTCCACAAATGCCGATAAGGGGGGGGGAAGGGGAGAACCATATGAATGTTAGAGCCTTCCGGGGGGTATCAGGTAAATGTTATCTTGAAAAACGAAATCCTCCGACCCCACCCAGGCGATAAATAAAGATTGGTCCCTTACTACGACAGGTGCTAAACTAATGCAAATTAAATTTGGAATTTTTTTTACCATACAAAGATCGTTCATCACAAAATTAGTCTTCAGAATGGCTCCGCTTCAAAAGTAAAGCAACGAAAAAGATATTAAAAACTGAGTCACTTAAAGGATCTAAAACTATACAAGTAACGAAGACGGGATGTTATGATGTTTAGTTTTGAAAATTAATCTAAACTTCGCATTATTTTATCCCTTTTATGTTACTCTGAGCTAAAAAATGAAATTGATAAAGATCAGGTCGTGAGTGTATTAGTTTACGATAATTTTGGGTAAACTACGGAAGCCGAGAAGGGACAATCCAAAAATATTTTCTCACAATGCAAATTCTTTTCCACAATTGTGGCAGAACATATCAATACACTTGGTACAGTTTAGACCGTTCGCGTAGTCACTCCAAGTTGACTTAGTGCAACCTAGTGCGACACAATGTTCTGTAGCGTAAAGAAGTGCTGACTACTGGCGCAAGTGTCACGTGACAAAATATTTTTCTCGATTTGCGAAAATTTTCTGGATTTTGGAAAGATTCTTGGATTGTCAACTATTTTCGATTTTCATGAAAGTTATTTGTGGATCTATGAATTAAACCAGGATTTGAAATTGTTTTCTCGATTTGAGAAACTTTTCAAAAGCGATTTGTTTAAAAGATATCGATTCTAAACATCTTTTCGGATTTGCAAAATATTTTTGGATTGTCCCTTTTTCGGCTTCCGTAGTAAACCTAACATCTGCAAAATTTAGATGATTGAAATAAATTTCCATCATAACGTGGAAACCATTTTCTGATATACTGGCCCTTAGTTCAGCTTATCTTCAATAAAGAACCCTACAATCGAAATTCCGATCTAAAAAGCATTTTTCTCAGAGCTTATGATGAAACTCAAAGACTCAACCCTAAACTAAAATTAGAAAAATGAACAAAAATCTCATCAATAACGAGTTAAAATGAAAACTCGATCGCATAGTGCCTGTAAAAGCACTGAGACACACTTTAAGGAAAAAACTAAAAAAAATAAATAATAAATAAAAATAAAAGATTACTTTGGTCCATTTGAGTGCCTTTACAGTCCAATCCTGGTTTGGACCGTAAAAGTTTTGTCGTCATCCATGAAGAGTATCGTCAAGTTCAAGTCTTTTTCCAACTTTCACAACCAACAAGGAAGTAGAAATTTGATGAAAATTAAACTTCCTCCATTCAAAAATTGGGAAGAGAAGAATCTTAAATTGTGAAGAATAGTTTCAACACAGTTTATGTAACGTTTCTAAGTCGAGGCAAGTCCCATTGGATTTTAAAACAATAACAAACAACTGTAAAATGGAAGCTTAAGTGTCGTAATTAATAATTAACAGTAACAAAGTGACACTTACATGATCATCAGCCAAAGTCTAAACTTGAGAGGCGTTGTGGTAGGTCCAATGTGACGTAATCACCGATGAGTACAAATGGTGCCCAGTTCCGTACTTTCCAGAGCCATTCAATTTCTCTCATGAAATTCGTAGCCTGCCGAAGAGCTTCACTGGCCTTCTTTCCTGCCAAAAGTTCTTTGTGGAAGTACTTCATGGTCATTGTAGCCTCGTCACTAAGCGCCCACAGAGCCACCAAAACAGAGCGAGCTCTGGCACCTAGAAACGATCGCGCCATACCAATTACTCCTTTAGCTGCCTTGATCTCTCCACGAGCACTGTGACAGTAGCTCAGTACAACCAGCCTTACCCGCTGGTGAGCACTTGACACATCTTTCTTGGTGAGAATATTTATTATATTTTACGGCAGGGGTCTGTGATGTACGAGTAGTTCATGGTGCCAAGAGAATTTCTCCTGTCTCTAGTCGGCCATGATGGGCTGCGATGCGCACACAAACCATCAACTTCAGAGTGGTCAAGCAGGGAATGACACGAATTCTGAAAGATTCGCACAGATAATTTAAATTGGAGTCCATCACTGCAGTAAAAGGGACCATGCACAATGAATGTTCGGGAACAAAGATAAGTTCACAGCCATTAATCAGGTCGGCATATCATAGGACCAATGATAACGTCATACACCTTCTGCAATGACTCTGTCTGGAAAAACTCAGGAGGTTTATCACCCGCCCGTTCATTAGCCAGTTCGTCATCGCTGGGTTCATCATCAAGTGAACGATTCTCGCATTTGGCTCGCAATGTTCCGCATAACTCGTTGTTTAACTTTTCAATGAAGTTTGCGGTCAAGTAATAACCTGAACCGTGATCGCCGATATTTATTTTTCTGAATTGGAAATCGTTACCGATACGAACGACCCAGAAAAACATTTGTTCATCACTCATTACTAAGAAAACTAAATTCGATTGAACACACACAATTCGCAGACAGGCTTCTCAGGCAGGTGTGATATATAGCATGGTTCTCCAGAGACATACTCGTTATTGACCAAATCATGAAGTGCTTGAGCCCGTGCTTTGTCAACAACGAGCAGAGTTGCGGCAACTTGACTTAATCGTAGATGCAGTCGCCATAACTTTTCGTATCAGATGCACATCTGTGGGAACCACGGTAGGTAATATTTTACTCTTCTTTTAACTGCTGACCAGCTCTGAGCTCATCGTAAATCGTGACGCTCGGAACGGTAGTAGTCAAGGGAACTGAGAAGAGACCCCTGCTTTTCAGAGACAACACTTAGGTTAAAAAGTGACACGGCCTCCAAATCCTTGCCTTCCACTTTCCTGGAAACTGCTAAAGCACATTTATGGTATTAGATAGCTCTTTGAAAATCTCTTCTCCAGTTGTACACACACCCGAGACTGGCAGAAGTGTCTTCCCCATCACGCTTGTTTCCAACTTCATTGATAGCTTGATAACTTCTGTCACAAGATGGGCATTTTTTTCAAGTTTGAAGAAGTAGAAATACGTACAGAGTGAAACATTAAAAAATCCATGTTACCAAAGTGGTATCTTGTTGATCATCTTAAAAACACCTTTTGATATCGGACTCTTACCTCAGAAATTCGGTCAGAAGTCCGTCTCGCTTCCTTGATACCAACTTCACACGAAAAGTTTTCTTGCTGCTTTTAAACTGCAACAACCAAAGTGTCACGGCTCAGCCACACTATAAGATTCGAAGAAGTGCAAAGACACTTAATACTGTTTCTCTCGGTTATAGATAGATTTTGAGGAGTTTTTTTACACATTTCTGTTTTTGTATTTTTTTTAGTTAATCTCTTCAGTGTCGCAAGTAGTTTTAATTTTTCGTGTAAATCGATCCATGATTACTTCACCGAGGAAATCGAAACAACTGGCATAACAAGCGAACCTGTCAATTTTGAAAGCTACACCAGGAAAGAAAATCGTGAATTTTTTTCCTAGTTTTGACTTCATACATTTACCTCAGTTTATACAATTTCACACTGGAATCACAGGTTACAAATTTTTAAGTTCCTGTCGATAACTGCGAAGCTGGAAACAAAATCATGAATCATGAATCATAGTGGTTTAATTAAGAGGATGAATGATTGGATATAAACCTGAGAATCAGAGAGATGTAGTTAAAAAATGAAAAAACAAGAATATCGAAAAAAAAATTGTCATGATTCAGATATCATAAAATTCAAGACAGCAGGAATCGTGTATCTCGATTATTGCACTCCTGTGATAACACTCCCCTCCTTGTAAATAAAGAGTAAAGAAAAGCAGCTTTTCATTACCAGTCTATCACTGCTCAACTATTACGGGTCAATCATTGCCTTAAGTATTTCCAGTCTCCTCTTTCCAATCTTAAAGTACTCCCTTGCCATCAACAGCGTTCAAGAGATCATTTGGAAGTGATTGCGGTGTTGGACTGCCTTTATGTTTACAGTGTTACATTTCCTCACTCAAATACTGGATTTAGTCCAATACAAGCTATGAACATAGGAAGTGGGGCGTTTTTATTCAATCTGGATTTCAAGGGAGTAGTGCAAAGATCCAAATGTTTTATCGATTCAAACATCTTTTTTGCCATCTTCGATGGTTAATTAATCAACAGCCAATCAGAGTTTAAGCCAAATAATTCATGGTACGAACCCTTGGATTGGTCGCTGCTAATCATCTATCCTAGAAACAGGGCTGATGAGCCGGAATTAAGAATTGTTCAGTTTCTTTCTTACGTCTAAAATCCTCGTGATTATTCGCGAGTGAGCTACGGAATGTCTCTCTAAAAATTCACAGCTATTTCTTGATCTTTCGAGCTGCTTTTCCCTGCTTTTCCCAACTTTTTCCGCGAAAGCAGGGCAAAGTCGTGTTGAAGCTGGACTGGAGCAATTTTGCGCCACGGGGGAAGTGTGTATTTTCATAATTTAATTTTCTTTTCTTTGTGCCGAAAAAAGAGATTCCATTTTGGTGCGTGTCTGTGATCACAGATGACGTAATGTTTTCTTCCACGTCCTCTCTTCTGTTATCTGAGTTCCCTATTTGTTTGATTTTCTCATATTACAAGGCTGGTATAAAAAGCCACAGCTATGCTTGAGTTTAATGTACATTTCGAGAATTAAGCTTTAGACCAGGCAGTGATCTTTTAATTACTGTCGTGCAAAACTTCTGTCAACTCGAAGAAAACTGCAAAATATTACCTTGGTAAAACAATTAGGAGGCATTGTCAGACGGAGAAGAACTAGGAACGACTCAAGATGGAGAACGCAGTACACTGGAAATTCTCATATCGTGACAGGACTTGTGGCGAATGCGGCGATTTCAGTCTTTTGTTTATGGAAGATAATTTGAAACGTTTATGGTATGAGAACTCTTGGAAAGGGTTATGCTGGTGCAAGGAAATTCTGCACAATTATGAACGTGCCTCCACCTCCAACTGAGAAAGCTTTCCTCAGCAACTCGCGCGTAATCGGCCGTCACATGAAAGCGATTGCAAAGGAAACAATGAAAAAGGCGGGAGAAGAAGTTTTATCTCTCAAGAAGGATGTAAATTCTTCTGAAGGTCTACTGTGAACTGTGGTGTTTCCTGTGACGGAACATGGCAAAAGAGAGGCTACTCGTCACGCAATGGTTGTGTGACTGTCATATCCATGGACACAGGAAAGGTTCTTGATGTGGAGGCCCTAAGCCAAGGATGCAAACAGTGTGAGCGGCATGAACAAATGGACAAGAATTCTCTTGAATATCAGATGTGGAGAGCTGATCACACCACTTGCAAGTCAAATTTCCAGGGATCAGCACCTGCTATGGAACCAGAGGGTGCAGAGCGCATATTTCAAAGGTCTGTTGAGCTGCACAATCTCAGGTACACTGAATTTTATGGGGATGGGGACAGCAAGAGTTTTTCCAGGATAAAGAATATTTATCAAGATGCTGGAATTTTAGTGGAAAAGAAAGAATGCATCGGTCATGTGCAGAAGAGGGTTGGAACTGCACTTCGCAAATTAAAGCGTGACAATCCAAGCCTTGGAGGCAGAGGGAAACTCACAGATAGTCTAATTGATAAACTGCAGAACTATTATGGCATTGCCATAAGGTCCAATGTTGGAAATTTGGCTGGAATGAAGAAAGCTATCCATGCTAGCCTCATGCATTGTGCCTCAAGTGAGGCACGCCCACTTCATGACCACTGCCCAACAGGTAGTGCAAGTTGGTGCAAGTATCAAAAGGACAAAGCCAACCATACGAATCTCTTTAAGCATGGACCTGGCCTTCCTTTACCTGTTATTGCCAAGCTAAAGCCTGAATATATTCGACTTAGTGAGAACAACTTATTGCAGAAGTGTCGGAAATGAGACTAAAGAATCTGCTATGTTCCGAAACTTCACGTTTTATTTTATAAAATCAACTTAATCTCCCGCTCTCTCTCACCGTTTTCTGTCTTTCGCTCTGGTCTCTCTCATTTTAAATATATAATATGATCCTATTGTTCAATCATCTGTCACTTATCGCAAAAAATCAACCGGAAATCAATTAACGCTGAATAATCTCTCACAGAAGTGCTTACATGGCAAGACACAAAATCAAAATGAGTCTTTGAATGGGATGGTATGGCAAAGGATTCCAAAAGAAATTTATGTTGGAAGGGAGACATTAGAATTAGGACTTTATGATGCTGTTTCTTATTTTAATATTGGTTCAATTAGTATTATTAAGCTTTTCCAAGCCCTTGGTATTCCTTCTGGCAAATATACCGAGGAGGGTTGCAGACTCCAAGACCAGCTAAGAGTTAATATTGCGCAACATAAAAGCAAAGCTACTACCAAGAAGCGATGCAAAGTGATTAGGGGCCTTAAAAAACAAAAAGATGACCATAATAAGCAAACTGAAGGAGTCAGCTATGGCCCTGGTCAGTTTTGAACAGTTCAATTCATGGAAACCGTGTTTAAGTCTTGAAAAAATCAGTTTAAAAACTTTAAACCAGTTTTCTCTCAATTTCGAATTTTATGAAACTACCGACACGCTAGCAAAGATAACTTTCCAGCTTTTTATTCAATTCTTCTCATTTTTGGAGTGAGAGATCTCAGTATATTTTTGCATGCAATGAACTAGAAACATACACTTAGGTGCATCTTTTGTTGTTAAATGACCAAAATGAGATTGCTCATCTTATCAATTCCTGAAAGTTGTTGTGTTTTCTTTAATATTTTCTATTCTATATGACTGAGAGGTGTTTCTGTAGTTCATTGCATGCAGGTGCATGTGAAGATCATTGTCTAAAAATTTTGCGAATTTTTAATCTAATGTTAAAGAGATATGACTGTTCTTGTTTGGTTGCCCACCAGGGGGGATCATTTGCTAATTCTCAGCAGCAATAATAAAATATCAAGTCAAAAACTGCAAAAATACAGTTGTCTCCATGTGTCATTTTAGGTGATATAGATAACTTTTTGTAAAAAAACATATGAAAAAATGTTGATTTTTTGAGGGTTGTACCACCTTAAGTCTAACTCAGTGTCCTGAGCAACCGCCCACTACCCTGTTGCGTGACTAGTGAGCGGAATAACTGGTGCTAGATTAAAAACTCTTCGCGAGTGGGGTTTTGAAGGAAGTAATGATTAGGCGAGATCAAGAATACGAGAGCCATACAAACCTTTTAAAGGGAAAAGGTCTTTTCTTTTTGAACGTTTCTACTCTCGCTTTAGGTACCTATTTAAGGCTATCAAACCGTCGTCACGCAAGAATTATTCTTTTTATCGCGTGATGCAAAATTTGGCGCGTGTCAAGTTGTGGGTCACCTGACTTGCATAATATAATTTCAAAACATGGTTGTTACAGTACTAACCTTGCTATGTTGTCTGGTTACTCTTAACCATGCTTCTAATAGTCACATCGTTGGAATACCAAGTATTGGAACGAGTCATGGACTTGTTTACGTCAAAATCGGACGAGAGCTGACTAGGAGAGGTTACAGATACAGTCTTCTTGTACCAGCCTGGCAAGTGAATGAAATTGGACCTAATTTGGCTGGCATTGCAGTGAAATCTTACGACACTCATACAAATGGGAATGATTTGGAAAAAGTGATAATTAAAGAAGCAGAAGGCAAGCTAAATATCACCGAGAGAAATGATTTTTGGAAGTCTACGTGTGAGGATTTGCTGAATGACAGAGCTCTCTTGAAAAGCTTGGGACGGGTAGACTTGATTGTTTGCGATATCACAAGTATATGTTGTGCTATAGTGGCAGATTTGCTGAAAGTGAATCGCGTTGACTTGGCTCCCATCGGATTTGTAGATCCCTATGTGAGTTTTATTCACAATTTCCCTTCTCCCGTGGCTTATGTTCCGCACGGAACTGTCAAACTTCCAAAGAGAATGTCATTTTTGGAAAGGTTACAAAACCTGTTGTTGTACATCTTAGGGTATGTTATGCACGAGTTTGTTTTTATGCCACCCTTTGAAGATTTGTGGAGGACTCATGTCAAAGACAGTAAGTTTTCTAGTCTCAGTGAAGTATTCAGAGCCACAGGATTGTTAATAATTCCAAATGACTTTGCTTTGGATTTTCCAAGGCCTTTTGGAGCCCATGTGAAAGTGGTTGGGCCCATACTCCCGGAAAAGCCTAAGCCACTTCCAGTAGACAAAGAAAGTTTCATCTCTGATGGAGACTTGACAGAATTAGTAGTTGTTTCATTTGGGACTGTCATTTCAAATTTCAAACCAGAGTTTGTTGATAGCATTGCAAAAGGGCTCATGCAGGTCCCTTCTAAAGTTATATGGAAGTATAAAGGTGAGTTGAGCTTACTGCCTCAAAACCCGAGCAAAAATATCAAAGTTGTACCATGGATGGAACAAAATGATCTTCTTGGACATGCAGCTACAAAGGTCTTTTTCACTCACGGGGGCTTGAACAGTATACTTGAGGGCGCTTATCATGGGACACCTATGGTTGTTTTACCTCTCTTTGGTGACCAACCTGCAAATGCTATGAAAGTGCATGAGGCTGGTATTGGTGTGATACTGGACTTGCAAAATTTAACACCAAATGCAGTAACAAATGCAATACTTGAAGTTCTCAGAAATTCCAGTTATAAAGAAAAAGCTGAAAGAGTTTCTAGATTGATTCGTCACAGGAGAGTCACACCAACTGAAGAGGCCTGTGACTGGATTGAATATGGGCTTCATAACAATGCAGGACTGCATTTAAGGAGTGAAGCTGACAACTTGTACTTTTTTCAAGTTTATCTCTTAGATGTGTTGCTTCTAATAGTTGCGATTGTTGTTTGTGTTATGGTTTTGTTCTACTTTTGTCTGAAGTATTGCTTACAACACATCATACATAAGTGTTCTAAAAAATCAAAGTCAGATTAAACTAAAAAAAAATCACTTAAATCCTAAAATTCACTTATCAGTTTTGAAAAACAGAGAAAATAGGCAAAACCCTTTTTTCTCATATGCATTTAGTTAAGTGTACTCTCTAGATCAAAAGTACTTAATTTACAAACCTCCTCTATCTACCTCCTCCTATATTTTAAGCACCAAAACAAATAAATGGCCAAATGATGGTGGTACAATAGGTAACAGTTTAATGACTTTATAAGTCCTTCATTGCAGCAACAGGTAAATTTTTTCTCAAGTAATGGAATAGTGAGTCAAATTATCTTATTTCCTTAAGAATGAATGAAGACCCTTCCATTAGCCATAAAGCTATGTGCTGATCCCTACCATTGGGTGCTAAAGAGTTCAATTATGAATTAAATTATTTACTTGTAGCATTTGATGGGCTTATTGAGATAAATAAAAACTACTTTCCCTGATAAAAACTAAAGGATAATCAGAGATTTGTGCATCTTCGCCATCATTGGCTAACTCCCCTTTCCAGAAACAACTCTGTTTGCCCCAACCTCTGGGAATGTGAATGAGGAGGAATAAGGCTACATTTAGCCTTTGTGAGCCTTTGTTTCTGTAGTGGAAGTATAGGCTGTGAGCAGTTTCTATGAGTAAAGGAAAAAACAATTTTCGCTCCATATTCATCAATTCAAGGCAAATTCTGCGACTTGATCACACCGTTGACCTCATTAATAACAGGGGGGACTGGGTATACCAGTGGTCAGCAGCATACATTACAATTTTTCTGTACTTCATGTATGAGATCAAAACAAACGTCCCCTGAACGTGAATGTAAATCAGTTGACTTTCTACATTTCTGCGTGGTAAATAGAAGAATATTTAAAAGCGGAACCAAAAAATGAAGTCAAACGAAAGAAAGGCATAGTATTCGACTTGTTTGTGAATCGCTCCTTTAGGTGATATGAGAAACCGTTTTAAACCTGTTTTATCGACTCCTCGGCCAACTGTCCGACAAAGTAGTTCCTCGGCGGCGGCAAGTTCTGAGGGCAATGTTAACAACATAAATACACCGCAAGAAGAGTCAGCAAGGAAGCCTGCTGGAGGTATGTTAGCCTGTGATAGTTTCCTCTTGACAACGTTTATGTTTCGGTTTTTAGAAAAATGTTGATAGTTTTATAAAAGTTACCCAGTTATATGTACCCTTTTGATCATCATGAGTCGTGGGGCAAATCGATTCGCTGTGTGTACATTCTACTTTAAAATTCGTTTTTCGATGAGGAATTCCATTTTTGGCAAACCCAGCACTGCTCAATATTTATAAGAAATTATGTTCTAAAATCACGTCAACAAATTGAATTCGGATTTCTGAGGAATTTCAGAGAAATTTCTGAAGGGGAGCTGGATACTAAACACGTAACATTTTGACCGGTATTCAGATGTTTTTAAAGCATATCTTTGAAGTTATAGTTTATTTCCCTCTTTTTACTAGTTTGTGGCATAAATCTCATACTTTTACAAAACTATAAAATAAACATTTTTTACAACTTTTATTGGTTTCGACTTGAAAGTATTGTTCAGTGTCGCATATGAGTCAACTATTGGAAATCTAAAAAAATGGAGATGTTTGATTTCAGATCTTGTACCCCCTCCACCTTCCTCCCTCTGTCACAACAAAAAATAATTGAGTGGCTACCTCATTCCAGTCTATTGCCACACCATGCTCTAGTTACATTAAATTCAAGGCTATTTTGTGTTCTCTCTGCTTAAACAATAAATCCTCAGAATCGTTGGAAGCAAATTCATCTACAAAACAAAGGGATGATGAATCAGCAGCATCAAAGACATCGTTGTCATCTTCCACTGCCACTACTGGATCCCAGCGAAGATCACGTATCAAGCCTACTGTTGCTTCTGTGGCTCGTTCTCGTCCAAATGCGGCAACAAAGAACAAGACATCTGCAGATGCTGGAAAAAATGAGTTGGATGGAAAGTCAAAGGAGGAGATTACACCAGTTTCACAAGGCCAGTTGGGTGATAAAGAAGATCCATTGTCTAGGAAATTAACATTCGATGGAGAGGATGGTGATGGTACCAGTACTCCTAGTAGTCAAGAGGGAAATCAGGCAGTAACATCAACAAGAAACCCTGCAGAGATAAGTGCCTCTCTTACAAACATTGAACAAAGAACCCAACCTGTTGCGCAGGAAACAGTGGTAAAACCATCACAAATACAGAACAGGAACACAAATTCTGATACTGCAGTGCTACAACCTTCCGATGGTGGGACAACACCTTCATTACTACGTCGCAAACGGGTCTTACCTAATCTTGGGTCAGCTGCAAGGAGGAGACGTTCTTCTGTGTCAAAAGAAAATGTAGAGAAAAATCCTGATTTTCATGAAGTCAGACAAGAAGAAATAAATTCAGCTCACAGAGATGAGGGACTTATATCTGTAAGTGAAGAGATTATGGACATTTTTATTTTATTTCAATGAAAACTTCTCTTACAGGATAAAAAAATGTGAGTTCGAAGGTCAACTCAAGGTGACCAATCACAAGTGCAGATTCAGAGCTTTCAATAAGAACCAGCTTAAACTGCTCTCTAGTATCCCAGCTGTAAGTACTTTCTCCTACTTTCACCAAATTGTACCATCATGGAAACACTGTCAAAAATTTGTACAGCAGCCATTTCCCAGCTTTGAGTGGAATTGAATGCGTAATTTACCAGTGACAGGTTCTAATTTGTGAATGGATTACATGTTTAAAATTTTCCCAAGGTCAAAGCAAACCTTGAGGATTGTGTGGGATTTTTTTAACTGAGTATTTTCCAGTTTTGCATGAAATCTGATGGACCTTATTGGGTTATAGTAACTTGACCACTTACCATTTTGTAATTGCCCTCTATTTTCAAACTTTTTGAAAGCCATGGCAATTTTTTTTCAGGGACTAAAAAGTAACATTATGTAATTGACTGTAGTAGGGTTTATATGCTAAAGCTCTCTTACACAAATTGGTGAGACATACATGTTGATGTTTTTGAACTCTGAGATAAATTAAAAATTTTACAAACCTTGTTTTCTCTGTTGGTACTGGAAGTTAAGGAACCTGGTTTTTCTACTCAAATTTATGCCCTTTGTGCTTTGCACTTGGGTCACTGACTTTGAGATTTTTATTTACCACTAACTGAAGAATAATTATACAAGTGACCACAATTATTAGTGGTGAAGATGAATTAACTGAAAGGGAACTTTTAAAAAAATACAGGAAGCAAAAGCTTGTAAACTTGGCTTTCCACTTATTACTAACAGGATGAATAAATTTAGACTTCATATGTAGTGCATAACAAGTCAACCAAAACATTTGTAACCTATAAACTTAAGAAACTTTTCTTTGATATTGCAGGAACAAAGTGCTGTGAATTGCAGTGGGAGTAGAGGCAAGAGATTGCGGACGTTATCAGAGGAAGACCAAAATGTTGACTATGGAACCTCACCTGTCACAGTACCAGAGATCCACGACAAAGATGATGAGGAGGAGGATGAAGAAAGTAGAAAAAAGGTATACAGTACACTGAACTTATGTTTCTCCTTTTGTAACCTTTTACACCTCATTATCAGAATTTATTTTCTCCTTACTACTCTCTATACATTTCAAGGTGCTGACAAGGAGAATGTTTTGAACAATCAAGAGCTTCTTTAGTTGGTGATCATTTCACGTATTCTCATGACCTTCATGTTTGATTCAGGAGTGTTACTGTTATGAGAAATTATTTGCCAGTCACTCTTGAGAGTCAAAGGGTTATACATAATGGCAAACTTTGGGCTACAGAGAACTTGTTGGTGAGTTAGCCTGTACACTAGGTTCCTATACAACAAGTGTCTGGCATACTGTAAGAATCTTGGTACTCATATTTTTTCTTTTTCCCACATTGTTACCATTGAACAGCATCTCTCAATATGACATGTAGATGAGCAAACTCAAAATTTACCTCCTGTTTCATTTTAATCTTTTTTATGTTATATTAAAATGGCATAAGGCTGTGGGGTGCCTTGTTCGTCCCACTTTGCAGCCCATCAAGTGCCTTCTTTCCTGTGAATGGTTGACTGATCACTTTGCATTTGTTCCCTATAGGGTCTTAAAAGAAAGAGAGGTGGCAGACCCCATAAACTGAAGGAACCATCAGATCCCAGTCACATGACCATGCAGCATTTGATCTACTTCAACCCCAAGACCAACCCTATGAGGTAAGCTTTTATCAATTAGCTCCCAGGATTTAAGATATCAGTTTTCCTTTCTAAGTGTGCCTTTTTTTTTTGTAATTTAAGCTCTGAAAATTTAGTGTTGAATTCATTATGGAACAGGGTAAATTGAGAGGAGAGTTACAAGTTTAATCATTTTCTGGAGCTGAGAGCTGAGCCATTATTGACCCTTTGATGTGTAAGAGTGACTGGCATCTTGTTTCTCCTTACAATAACACCCCTGAATCGAACAAAAAGGCCACAAGAATAAATGAGAAGATCACCAACTTAGGAAGCTCTATATTGTTAAAAAAATTCACCTTGTCAGCACCATAAGAAATGAATAGAGAACAGTACGAAGAATATTTTGCGTTACCATCATTCTAGACAGGTTTATGTGCTCTTTGTTTTGTTTTGTTTTTGTTTTTTTTGCAAAATCAACCTTCTTTACTAGTTATGTATAGATTCTAATGCTGACATAATGAGTGTCATCCCTTCTCTTTGACAAAGGGCTTGTGCTCAAAGCATCAACTTTGGAAACTCTTTACAATGGCCAATTTAGTAGCTAAAACCAAATTATCTTGCTGTACCTTCCAGCATTGCAGCAACACAGTCTCTATAGAAAATTACCCCCCCTTTATTCTGGTATACCTTTCAAGAGGCCTGGAACAGTGCATATAGATATTTTAGCCTTAAAAATGATACAAATAATTGGTGATGTAAACAAAATGTTTTACACTGGTTGCAGTTCAAGTTTGACTGGGAGAAAAAGAAAAGCAGATGACAAGAACAAAAGCAAAAACCTGAAAGGACAAGACCTAAATATTTCACAGTAAGTTTGTGAGTTAAAAGGCCACAGGTTGTGTACAAATTAATAATAATCATAATAATAATAATAATAATAATAAAAAATAAATAAATAATGGTAAGGATTTCTATAGTGCGATATCTTATGCTCATGGCACTTTACAACTGAATATTCAAGCCCAAAAAAATTGTAGATTAAAAAAATACATCAATAATAAAACACAAATATATAAAAGTACAAGTTAAAATTCATATCTAAAAATTAAGATTAAAATTAAAAGTAAAAATTTAAAATTAAAAAAAAAAAGATCAGAGCTGTTACATACACAGGCTAAGTGTAGCATCTCGAATTCTTAACCCTTTAACCCCTAAGAGTGACTGGCATCTAATTTCTCCTCACCATATCACCCCTAAATCAAGCATTAAGGTTAGGAGAATAAAAGAACTGATCACCAACTAAAGAAGCTCTTGATTGTTATACAAATTCTCCTTGTCGGCACCTTAGGAAATGCTTAGGGAACTATATGGAGAATATGCATACTGATGTTGGGGTGTAAAGGGTTAAAGAACAAGTATGGAGAGAAATAGAAAGTGTTGGGAAGCCAAATGGTTGCCAGCTAGTTGAATTTTAAGTAGTATTTCGTCTTTCCTTATTTATAGTGTTGAAAGAGGAATTACTTGTTGTTTACCTAGTCTTTTCTCCCTTTTCTTCCGAGATCCTTCTTCCCTATCATCATTATTGTCATGATTAATATTTTTTAAGAAAAGTTACAATTACTGAAGGAGTGGCAAATGAGAGTTCAGTAGGAGTATTGAATACCGTGATAGTCATACTGGACAGGTTTTGAAACGAAAAAACGTTGTTGCATTTAGAAAATTGTGTCACCAAATTAGGCTCAAAGGGATGTAAAAATCATAGCGTGTTGCACTATTTTCTACTTACTCGAACAGCAAACAGTCAAACAGCTTTAGTCGCCTGAAAAGTTGATCGCGCGAAAATTTCTTCAAAGCCTTCGATAATCTCCTGAACGTCTCGAATGTCTCGAAAATAGACTTTAGCCTTGGTCCTCGAAGTTTTCTCATTTGAGTGGTACTGTATTTATTGTAGAAACAAAGAGTTAGAGGATGGGGCAGCCTCTGGAAGAAACACTTCCTTAGAGAGCCAAGAGCCAGTTGTTGACGCAGATGACACAGATGGGGCAGCTGTTGCCCCACGCGTGAAGCTGGCTGCTGATGGCACCATTATACTGGATGAAGAAAGGTATGTCTGTCGCTCTGATCACATCAACGGTACAGTTAGTCTTCTTCCTAGAAATCATCGCCCAAGGGAGACCGGCACATGTTACATGACAAGTCCAGCTGGCAGTAAACGAAGCTGCAACTGTAAATCTCTGATTGTACCGTTGAGTGTACTATGAACATGCTCATTTTAGATTCAAGACCGTGTAACCTTCTACGATAGTTATTATCCCTCCCAATTTTCAACAATTTTCTTGATGATCTATCGCTATTCAATCTGGTGTTCGTCACTTCTTGGATTAAAAAGGTTTCAAAGACGTTTTTTTTAAAACTTATTTTATAATCTCATGGAATTATTGGCCAGCGGTGGATGTTCTTATTCTTCCTCCTTTTGATGTTTTGTTTCTTTTTGCAGCCTCTTGATTCCCAAATCGCCAGAAAATACCCTAGAAAACAGGTAAGGCGTGAAAAGATTTCAAAGAACTTGAGTTTCATGTACTCGAAACTGTCATTGTTGTTTATGTCGATTCCTATGAACAATGAACTGTCCAGCAGGCAACCGGTCTGGTCACTCGGAAGTCATTTCGCCCGAAGTCATGTCGCGATATGACTCAGGTTTCGGGCGTGATGACTTCCAGGCGACTTGAGCGTAAACCTACAAGGTAAGTATAGAAACAAAAGGTAAGCATATCGCCCTGAGATATCAATGCATTCTCCCAGCTGGCAACAAAAAAGAATATGAAAATCAGTAGAGAGACTTGAAAATCAATTTTTCCAAAGCGAAAAAGCCTCTTTAAGTGTACGTTAGTAGATGATGATGATGATGATGATGTGTGTGTGTTTTTTTTTTTTGGTTTGCAAGTTCGAAAATCTTTCTTTTTTCTGCGATTTACGACAATCTGACTTGGATCTCTACCTTTATTTCACTGCAGTGAAATCGTCTATGAAGACGCTGACGCCGTCACTTTTAGTGGTTACTTAAAGCATAGAAAAGTAGAAAGGTGGTCACTTGCAGGTATGTTACATTCTTTGACGGAGAAAGAACACAATACTTACCGACGACTTCGAAATTTGGAAGAAATATTTCGATTTAACAATCGAAGGACTTTGCCCTTCCGATGTACTTCATGTGAATGGTACAAAAAAATATATTATTTGAAAGGAGCCGGGTTCCCATCTCTGAAAAATCACATGCAACCAAAAATCATAGTGCGCTGAGTATTTAGTTAATACTTTAAATTCTTTTTGATTTGAGAGAAATGAGATTCAATTAATGCCACTAACATTGATGATCCACTTTCTCAGAGACTCAAACGTTTTACAAAGCTCTCAGTCAAGTTGGAACTGATTTCAGTCTTATGACACCGATATTCCCAAACAGGACAAGAAGAGAGCTTAAGGTTTGTGGCTGTTGTTGGTTTGAACTGAAAAGGGATTTCTTTCTCTTGACACCAGTTTCCTGCCCTCTCCATGAATTTTATGTACATCTTCTGTTGGCCAGATTTCTTTCCTTTTTCTTCTCTTTCCTTCTTTTCCTTCAATCTCATCCCTCTCTCCTTTCCAATTCCTCATCCCTTCCTTCAATCTCATCCCTCTCTCCTTTCCACTCCCTCATTCCTTCCTTCAATCTCATCCCTCTCTCCTTTCCACTCCCACATTCCTTCCTTCAATCTCATCCCTCTCTCCTTTCCAATTCCTCATCCCTTCCTTCAATCTCATCCCTCTCTCCTTTCCACTCCCTCATTCCTTCCTTCAATCTCATCCCTCTCTCCTTTCCACTTCCTCATCCCTTCCTTCAATCTCATCCCTCTCTCCTTTCCACTTCCTCATCCCTTCCTTCAATCTCATCCCTCTCTCCTTTCCACTCCCTCATTCCTTCCTTCAATCTCATCCCTCTCTCCTTTCCACTTCCTCATCCCTTCCTTCAATCTCATCCCTCTCTCCTTTTCACTTCCTCTCCTTCCTCTTTTCCAGACCATCCTTTTGTTATTCCACTTCCTCCATCACTTTCGTCTCCACCTTCTTTCCCCTTTAACCTCTCTTCCAGCCTTCGTCCTCCCTCCACCCACTCTTCCCATTTTCCCTTTCATCGCCTCCTCCTTCCACTCTACCCTCCCTTCCCCTTTTCACTCCTTCATACCTACCTTGGCCTCTTCACCTCTCCCTTGAACCTTTGTTCTTCCTAGTTCTCCTTTGCTCACCCCGCTCCCACTCCCCAATTCCTTTCTGTCTGTTTTTTTTTTCCCTATAAAAGTTCTAACATCTCTTTTCAGGCCAAATTCAAGCGGGAAGAAAAACAGCACAGGACTCTGATAGAAAAAGCACTTCGTAAGCATAAAATAATATTTGTGTTCTTCCTTGTTCTGCTATATATATTGAAAAAAATAACATGCTTACGTTGAAGTACAGCTACATGTAAAAATCCTGCAGCTCCTGAAGGTGAATAAGCCGCAAATTCTTCTTGCGATTCAAATATTTTATCCTGGAAACAGGTTAATGAGAAAAGAAAAGCCTATCAGCTAAAGGTGTCTTCTTGAAATAAGACCAAATTCTTCTGTCTTATTTACAGAGAAATGTAAAACCGGTATGGAGAATTACTAATTGGATCTTGCTAAGAGAATTTTATAATCTCTTGACCTTGCGTGTTTGAGGCAAACTGAAAATTGTATCAAACAAGGCCTATCCAACTTTTAGTACAAGGATTCTCTTGTTTCCACTCCCTTTGGGTGAGAGAGAGACGCCCTCATTTGACCTTCTTCCTCTAACTCGCTGAAGAGGTGGGAAAAAGAGGGACCCTGGGAACGAGGTTTGGACTTAACTAGTTGACGCAGGCGTAGAGTGGTATCCCGGATGGCGAAAAGAAATCCGGTTCGTGATAGGCTCAGTAAAGAGTTGCGTACAAATTACTCCTCCTTGCTGTGTGGTCTAAGCCAAACTGGTGTTCCTAGCTTGACTTGAGTATTTTTATCCCTGTAGGCGTCCGTAATCCTATTGATATAGAGCTGTTTGCTCCTAAAGTCGACGAAGACGAGATAGACGACGAATTGGCAGGTACTGATCCACTCAGCTCAACACCCCGCAATCAAGAGTTGTGAAGCGGTTAACGTTGCTTATTCATGTCTGTAAACCAACGTGAACGACTCATTGAGCCGGCGATTTTTGGTAGAGTTGTCGCTAAGAGACTTGATGCCTGCCGATCTATTTCCGTGACAGACTGAAGATCGTTCAAGTTTGAATGCAGATAAGACAGTGGAAATAAACATGGGTTGTATTATGTTTGAACAATAGCTCGCTATTTGGAGCTGGAAGGTGGAATGAAATACAGCTTCGTTTTTGGAGTTGCACTAAGATTTTTCAGAAATAACTTAAAAAAATTACTTAAGAAGGTATACGAAAATTCTCACATTTTACTCGGGAATTGGCTAAAGTTGCGGCAGGTTATTGACGTACATTTTCTCTCCATACATTGAATAATTTTGTAAAGATCTGAATAAAGAAACGTAATTTAGTAAACGTTCTCGAAACAATTTGTGACAAACATCGTTGATGACGTGATCAGGCCTCTTCACTTGGGTTATATGGAGTTTGCGAAGTTTTCTTTTCTCTGGTTATATGAATAATTTCAGCCAATTCGGCTGGTTGAGATTTCAGCCCTATTTCTGTTCATGTGAGAAAATTCATCTCGGTTAGCAGATTGAACAAGAAACAGTATTTCAAGTTTCACTGCAAAAGCAGGCTGAAGTGGTCAAGACGAAGAGCAACCTCTCGGTTACTGAGATGAGGTGTAATCGGGCTCTGCTTTTCGCATTAGTGAATCGACTTCTTTTTTTGGGGGGGGGGGAAAAGGGAGGGGGACTGAAGACAAAGAAGTGACTTGCAGTTATGTTAAGGTTAAGAGTATGTTCTCAACTTACGTCTTCCATATCATCTGACAATTCACAATTTAGCGGCCAGCGGCTTTGTGGTGTAATAGAGAGAGAGGTCACCATGTGCCGCGGTTCAATTCCAACTATGATAATCTGCTCTGAGTAATTCTTTTACCTCTCGCTAATTTTGACAAAGAAATTTAAAAAGCGTGTTTGTTTCTTCATGTTATTGTAAGGAAGAGAAAAGTATCTGGTTTGTGGAAATGAATATTACTGAACCATATGATTTGCCGTTTGTGCATGCGTTTATTGATCTTCAGGCCAATTGAAGGTGTTTAAAGTCACACTCTTTGAATCATATCGATGGTGCATCTAAAAAAAATATTTTCTTCATTTTATTTTGAATTGGTTTGGTCCCCACTATCGCCAGAGTCACCGCTATCGCCAGAGTCACCGCTGTCACCACTGTCCCCGCTCTCACCACTGTCCCCGCTCTCAGCAGTCGACGGGCTCTCGCCAGAATCGCCACTGTCTGCAGCTTTCCCATTACCAGACTCGCCCGATTCGCTGCTTTCCCCAGATTCTCCACGATCGAAAATACCGTGACGGCTGGCTGGTTGGTCTAAGATAACAACAAATACAAATAGTTTGCCAGGAAACGCTAACGTAGAGAAAAGGTTATAAACATTGCTCTCGAGATTGTTATGAAAAACAAACTGAATTCCCGTGAAGACTCAAACCCAGGCCAGTTCTGGTCGGACCTCCAAGCTTAAGAATTAGTTTGCGAGATAGGCAGGCATTAGCGTGCGAACAAGTTCTTGTTAGCGCCTCGTCACGAGCGGTGTAGTCCGCGAGATTCGACTCGTCGAGCTACGCGAGCGTGAGGGAGCTTTTAAAGCTCTCTCACTATTTTACGAGAACCTTTGTGGATTCCTCGCAAACACTCCCACGCATCAATCGCTTGCAAACTCGAAACCCGCCCGCTTCGCCGCTGACTGAGGTGGCATGTTAAACGTTCATGAAATAATTTTAGAGAAAGATGTTTTTTCGTCATGTCACGAGCGTGGGAATGAGGAATCGAACCTCAAAGCTTGCTCTATCGCTGAGCCACGGAGACTCTACGGTGAGCGAGGTCTATTACGAAGTTCATATGACAAGCGTCCTGCATACCGCTAGGATCAGCAATGTCGATGGCGTCATGTCTATAAATAGAGGATAGAGTCTCTGGCTTAGTGGTAGAGCATCGGAGCGCGGAATCCGATGGTCTGAGGTTCGATTCCTCATGAGGACTGAGGATTTTTCTCTTTGTCCCACGCTCGAGACAAGACGAAAAATATCTTTTTAAATTTCTTTAGCGAGCTCAAAACTTACCATCTCTCTCATTCTACGTACAATAATTTCTTTATTTTTATCGCTTATTTTTATTGCTAGTTCGACTGAAATTCGGAAAGCAAAAGTAGTGTGGGGCTAGTCATTATTAATCGCCTGGGGAGGGGAGGGTGGGGATTTTAGTTGTGCCAGGATAAAGTTCACCTAATGACCCGTCTCAAGACACACTTGAATGTTTTTCCCTCGGCTTCATCTGCCACCTGCACATAATTTAAAGCTCGCGATCAGAGAACCTGCCGAGTGGGAAACTCAAGAGCTTGTTTGTTTGTTACAAGCCAACGATCACTAACGAGTCGCCCCCAAGGATCCTCCTACGGACGGCACAATTAGGCATCCAGTTCAGTTCTAGCTTCTCATCACGTATTCACCTTTTTTCAAGGGTTTTTCCTCTAAACTGGATTTGTGATGTCCTAATCTGCCATGAGACTTTGATTCTGTAAAGAAACACAACATGTGAGTTACGTTAAATCATTTTGGAGAATTACTGTTATTTGTACAAACAGTCAGTAGTTTCAATTTAGAGTCTAACATTTCTTAGTGAGGTACTCATCCTGAGCAGTTTAGTCCAGATCTTAGCATTTTATTATTATTATTATCATTGTTATTATTATTATTATTATTATTTTCAGAGATTGTAAGAAAGTACCGACAAAGAGTTTCTGGATGTAAAGAGGTTCTGCCCAGTGAACGGCCTAATCGTTTGAAAACATACCTAAATTCACCAACTTGAGCACCAGTTCGAGCTCTCGATCATTCAGTTAAAGCACTCGAAGCAACTAAATAAACCACACTCTCTAGATAAATCACCATAAAGATACACTTAACCTTTTTCACCAAAAATACCATCGTCTAAATTCTAAGATTAGGTTGTTTGTGCCAACTGTAACTGCCAAAGAGCACACGCACACGCACAACCCGCTCAGCGCAAAAAAAAAAACAGGTCGTTTGCTCTAACACTCATTAAAAACATCTGTAACCATATTTTTGTGTCATAGTATATTGATATTGAATATTTTGCAAGAAACGTTAATTAACATTTTACACCCTAATATCAGAATGCATATTCTCATTACTGTTTTAGTTGGTGATCATTTCCTTATTCTTGTGACCTTCATATGTGATTCAGGGGAGATATTGTAAGGAGAAACTAGATGTTAGTCACTCTTAGGCGTAAAAGGGTTAAGGAACAAAGATCGTGGTGAATGATGAAAACTGAAAATAATGTGTCACTGATATTAAGACAAGGATATTATTTGTCAAAAATCTGCGTTGTAGAAATTACCCAAAACCAACTCGAGGGAAATTTGCCTATAAAGATAACTCTGCCTGTGATAAAGTCGTTTTACAGCCGTAGTTTAGTCAACGGAGGCTTCGGGTTACGATATGCTTCTCAAAGAAAAAAAAAACCGTCATTTAATCAACATAACACGTCTATTTACACGTCTGTGATATCATTTCAACCTCTTAAGAGACCTCTTAAAAATAATTACCATTTTTTATTTCTTGGGTGATTGATCTCAGAATAAGATCGCGTATTATTTGTCTCTACGGTACGTTACAACCGTGATTCTCACGTCCACAAAAAGCGAAAACACAAAACAGACAATTTTAGAGGATAATTTGCAAGATGAATTTAGAGAAACGCTGACAACCTCCTAAAAAAAAGATCGCCTTTTGAGAAGATTACTGAAAAGACTGTAAATTGAGTTAAAATAGATAATATTTTTCGCCACAAGTTCAGACTTTCATTAAAAACAACTTACTGTGGTGTTTTGCATCAACTGAACACATCATCCAAAAAACGAGACAGAAAATCAAAACAATCTTCATTATTGTCAAGGTCTGTTCTCTTGCGACTGAAATGTTCCCTTCTCGGCGAGCTGACTGACCTGTTATGGCGTTCTTGTGGTTAATGACATCTACTCTGGTCTAACTTTAATTGACTCACCCAATTAATTATGAATGTCTATTAGGTTGTTAAATGGACTAAAAATAAGCTTCAAAATTTTTAGTGCATTGCAGCGAAGAACAAGTAGGCAAATAATTGCTCGTTTACTCCGTTGTCCATTATGGCTACCTGATCAGTACCTGTAATTTTAGGAGTCTTAAAGATGACTCAACTAACCCCTTCCCCCGAGGGGTAATTCCCATTCTTTGCCATACGGAATGCTCCCACTGAATGTTTGGTGCAGAGGTATTTGAAAGGGTAAGGATTTTAACAAGTGATATGTTGAAAGGTTAGGGGAACCTGCTATTAGTTTGTGCAAAGTAAAAGCGAGTATAACCCGTTCCTTAGAAAAAGAAGAGGGTTTGCAACCTATATCTCAGAGCAGAAAAATCTACCAAAAATTGTGATTGGTCACCCTTCCCTAAACAACTACGAATACAGTCCACACTAGTTGGCATTGTTTTATCGCATAGAATTAAGCTTGGTGGAAGGGTACTGCAAAATTATGAAGCCAATTTTTTTAAACTCTCTAAGCTACGAAAGCTTGGTAAACTTTTTCTGCTAACTGTCAAGGTTGGTTCATTTGTAAGAAGAATTCTCTTTAATGAGCTATCTCCTCATAAAAAGATGTCACGCATTTTAAGTGGGTAGCTTCATCTCGGACATAAATCAGGGAGTCAACCGATCAATTATTAATGTTTTTTGCGTGGTTAAGTTTACTGAGATAAGCTTTTAAAAGACAGGATACAATTTAGAACATCATAATTCGTTTTTTTGCGCTGTCCATCGTGGCAAAGTGTTGATAAACGTTATTTTCTTTATCGCGACTCCTTGAATGCTAATACCAACAGGTACCTGAAACCTAGAGAGTGCCTATCTACTCAGCTACTTAGCAAACCCATTAGAACCAAAATTTACGCTCGTCATCATCAGTGAGTGGAACCAGTTAGAGAACTTTACAAGAGATAAGATAATTGCTTACAAACACGATCTCTAGCGATGAGTCGTTTCTGGAGCTTTTTTAAGAAGCTAAAACAGACCTTTTTGAACTATCATGTAAAAAAAATATGTCTGCCATAGTTGATTTTCGCTTGTAAAACGCCCGATTTGTTTTTAATTTGTGTACATTTCATTTTCAAACATAACCTTTTGGGTTGAACGGACTTTTTTAAAATACCTCTTGAAAACAAAAGACAAAATTGTCAAGGTCGCACTCATTTCAAGCTTATTAAAACATTAATATTTGAAAGCTTACGACTCTTAAAAACTTTGAAGACGATTTTCAACAAATCGTCTCCCCGAGCATAAATTGACTTGTTTCAACTATGAAAAGAATTTGGAAGAGAAATTTATCTTCTAGCTAGTTGTACCAATAGCGTTGTGAGCTTGCGTCACTCAGGGGCTTGTCTGGCATTTTCTTAATTTTCTTGTGTTAAATCACATCTTCTTAAGCTTGAGTTAATTCATCAAATAAATTATTGTTATCGGTTGTGTTGGGTCGTTCGCTTGACTGATGACCTTTCGCAGATAGAAATGAGGTCAATCAGACCAATTTTTTTTCCTTCATATAATAAGCTTGAAGTACAAGTGCCTAGTTGGTGGTAGGAACATTTGACGCATAACAGTTCCCCAGAGATATTTGATATTCCCAGACACGCGTGATCTGAAACTTGTTTAATAAGCTGAAGCTGAAATTATCATGACGTGCAGAAAGGCAATTTTTAGGAGTGGAGTGGTTTATAAACTTACTTATCAGAAAATGACCACGATGTAAATTATCAAGAAAATCCCCATTGTCGACAAATTATGTCCGCTTACGAAAAATACAATTTTTCTCTCCGAGTAAAAAGTGGCCAAAGTAATATATTATGAGATATTCTGTTATATAGATATGAAAACTGCTGTTTCTCTTGTTTCAATCACGTGATATCTCCAGCGCACATGCCAATTATGTATCTTCACAGGTGAAGATGTAAATGTCGCCATGGCAAACAGATCTATCAACATGGTGTTTTGCCTTCATTAAAGTCCATTAGCGGCTTATTTACTTCACCAACATTAGAATAGTTGAAATAATTGTTTTTCTTGAGTGTAAAAAATTATTTATAAAGAGGGATTTTTTTATCTTCATTTCTAAAGGTGAAAGCAGAATTTCGTGAGCTGAGTCTATGAGAAGATGATCTTAGAATTCGGTGCATTGGAAATATGTCTCAGAATAATCAGAAAATTCCAAGTCCGCCTGTTGATACGAAGTCATTCTTATAATTCCGATAAAATCCTCAACCGCATACGGTTATGAAATTTCCTTTTTTCTGTTCAACAAATATCACGGTGGTTAATAAGTAACAATTCATTTTTCGTTAGTTCACTGTGTCCATTAAGTTCGACCCAATTAAGTGTTCGGAATATTTGTCGCATCACAGATCCTTGGACACATGTTGAGTACCTGTGACCCGGTGATTCTTGCTACTTGTTTCGTCACCTAAGGTTTAAAGTTTCGTCTCACTTTTAAGCCAAGTTGCTGGTAAGCTCAAACGCATTGGACGTTAATAAGTCGTTCCTGGAACTAGACTACATCGTCCATCGAGCGAGTAAAATTGGGAAAAAAAATGAAAAAAAAATTGAATCGCGCAGCACAGAATTCTAGGAATGGGGGCGCTTGAAAACTAGGAACCTGAGTTTAAGCCTAAGGGTTTGCGTACTTTTCGTTTGCCTTATCCTCAGAGTTCCGCGCAGCGCTAACACCTTTTTTCACTGGTTTTTTTTTTCTTTTGCGCGACGGACTTCACCAAACAGCAGGGACTGTTCATAGCCAATCCTAGGCCTCTCCTCTGTAATTTCATTAATTGCAGCTCGCCGGCGAGGATCATTTCAATAAAACAATTCGGGAACCTGACATTATTTATCGCCTGAGGAGGAAGGAGGGGCTGTAGGCGTTTGGTTTTGTCATAATCAAATGTGCCTTATCCCTCCTAAAGCCCTTTAATATTCTTTAATTCTCCCCCTTCCCTCCCCCACGGCAATAAATAATGAGTGGTCCCCTACAAAGGACATTCACACCACAAACGAACGAACCAATCAGAATGACCTAAAACAAGAGATTATAAATTGTTTCTAATCTCTTGCCTAAAATTAGCGACGGATAGCATCGAGCAAATTACGAGCTACTTACAGCCAATACGGCATTTGCTCAAGAAAGTATTACCTGTTTAGAATCTGTTGTTCACTCGAGCCGGACCTAAGAACGCTCGACCGACAACAACTCTTCACTCGACTTTAGCGATGACGTTTGCACATGTTGTCGAAACGTCAGTCATCACAACCGACAACAGTCCTTCTCAGGACTACTCCTCAGACTACGCGATCAATGTCATCTGTGTTCAAAAACCCAGTCTGCATATTTACAACCGACAACTTGACATATTACAAAAAATTAATACAAAAACGACAATGACAAAATTACACATTGAAAATACAAGATAAAAATTATTTGAATTCTAAGGAAAATTTACTTTTTCAGTAACGCTGTGACAAAATGCTCAACAGCCGGGCGCGGTCTCAAATAGACTAAATGCCCGTCAGTCAATTCAAGATGAGAGAGCATTTTGTGGTTGTTGCAGGAGAAGGAGCAGCTAGAAAGCTGTTTACCAGCTCAAAATTCTCATCAGAGCAGAGAAAAATATAAATTGCATTACATGCAATAAATGGTAAGCTGATCGAAAACATTTTTTCCCACACGTAACTATAAAATTAGAAGGATAATAAACACAATAGCCCCCGTTTGCCGCGAAAATATGCTCGTTTATTTGTCCCTGGACATTATCTGTTCCTCGAAGCTAAAAGTTTTCCTTGACCTTTGCCCTCCGAAAACTGTTCGCATCTTGGAAAGGTAAATTTCCGCAGACAAATATCCGTGCATATTTTCCCCTCCATACAATTATTTGTTTATCTGTAGTTTTAATGATGCAGTTCATTTAAAATTAATTTATGTGTGGTTGGAAGTCTTTCTCTTTAGGATCCCGTCATCAAAGAAATTAATTCAACCGCAGAAATTGAGCTCAACGGTGATCGTAGACACCGGTACCTTCTGGAAAGTTCTTGTGTTTCGGAGAACATCGGTCTACCAGACGAAGACAGCATCAGGCTCTGCTAGCTGAGTGACTCTCACCATACCCAACATCCTGATGATCTCAAACCGAAAAAGGGCTTTATTTGCTGGGCTACTTCGGTATAAAATTACAGCTCTAATACGTAGGGAATAATACATGGGCGTGTGTAAATATGGAATTTCTCCTCTCGTATTCAACTTGATATCTCACTACCGAGCGCAGCGTACGGGTTGAATAAAGAGACATTGAGTTAACCACGAGAAGAGAAATTCAATATCTACACGCGCTCATGCATTATCTTATTTAATACATAAGCACAGTAGGTGTTTAGTGCCAAGAAAATTCCCCAAACAACCCTGCCTTGAGAATGTTAAAGGAATTGCCCTTCATTCATCAACGTGACAGAGTGGCGCGAAAGGTGAGTGACGTGTCAACAGCTGATTGTCGATATCAAACACGTATAAAACATATCGTAATTTCACATTTGTGCAGTTACAGCTGGAAATCGTTGTAAAATATCGCAGTTTATATATCAAAATACTCTTCTACCCGCTTACATTATACTGGACTATGTATTTCTGAAAACTTTTTTCTATCTCTTTAGAATCCATGTGATAGTAACCCCTGTCTCCATTGTGCAACTTGCCTTCATGGATTTACAGGCAAGAGATACGTTTACATCTGTCAAATTGGTTACATGGGAGAAAATTGCCAAAAAAGCTAACAATAAATGTCTTTTGTGTGATGTTCAGACTAACGTTTATTATCCTAGG